GCTTGCCCCTCTTCCCAGCTTTCCACAGAGGATCTCATTTCAGGGGTGACTTCCATCACCAGTGTTCCTGCCTTATGCTCAGTGACAGCCAGTTGAATTTAATAATGCTTCTCAGAATGGCTGAAGGGTCCATCTGTATTTCAAAACCTGTTCTAAACAACCAAGTTAGGCTGTTTGAGACAGTGAGTTGAATATTTAGTTTTCCTTGAGGACTTAGAAGTAAGAACACTGGCTTTCCTCTCCATGCCTTGACAATCAGGTGGGATTTTAAATGTCCCAATGAGCTTGAGATATCTAAAGTCTAGTGAAATAGAAATCTGTACTCCCTACACTGGGGTCAAAATGACTTTACATTGCATTAAATGACATTAATACCCCCATCAGATTGGCAGCAATTTTGACTTTGGGGATAGATTCCTTCTCCTATGCAATCAGTACTACCTTGATCTCAGTAACTTCTTAAAAGGTTTCATTTTCTTTTGTTTGTTTGTTTCCAACTTCTTCCTAACCTCCTGGGTTAACAGATGCTAACAATTACTGCTGAGTAATACAAACAGTACATATTATTTATAGATACTTTTGACATGTACTGTAGTTTACTATGGCATAAATGGGGGAAATTATTAATACTTAAGCAACATCACAGAAAGTGTTTCTGACACAGGTCAGTTGATTTTGTTTCCTACACATGAGTTGTATGTGTGTGGCCTATTAATTATATCCAACCAAAAGACAGCAGTATAGAACAAGTACTGTCATATTTTCAAGCCTGGGGTCCCTCCTAGGCATGACATAGTACTGTGTGCTCTACACAAAAGTAGCTCAGCCTGTGTATCAACTGGAAACAGACCACTCTGGCACGGGCACCCTTAAAAAGTCTTGCACCTTATTAGTTGAAGCATTGCATAGAGACAGTATATTAAGGGTTTGTTTTGTTTTGTTGCTTTTGTTTTTCCTTAGAAATAGATTCTGTATACACACACTCACATCACTTTCTGCATTTTCCTTGCTGCTCTTTGTGTGATAAAAACTTCACTAGTGTGGGTTAAATTATTTAGCCACTGACAAACTCAAGTAGTTGGTGGGAGAGATGCATTCACATAACAGAGTAAATAGCCGTTTTGAACATGGTCTTTATTAGCTGGCCTTTGAGCCTGCCTTCATTCTTCCTGTATAGATTTTATTGATATGTCTTCAGAGCTAAGATCTAAACCGCATTACTTCATGCTTTTACAAAGGACAGTCCTTTCTGGTAGGCTTTTGTATGTGTCGATTTCGTAAGTAGTTAGGCCACTTTATCTGAAAGATATTGTACAAACTTCATTCTAAGAAAGCTGAAATTGTGTGCTTTAACTGCCAGAGTTCCCTATAAAGGAAAGAGAAAGGGATCTGAAGAATAAGACCCTAGTGTTTGAACATGAAGTCTACACCCTGTCCAACACCAAAGTATCTTTCCTTCAATTTGCTTGGATACCAAACTTTCAAAATGATGCATTATTTATGAATGTAAGCATCAGACTTTTAATACTATGAGCCTCACCTATAGTAAGCTTTCTTGTCGGACTATCTTTGGATCGCCACCCCGTCATGGAGACTTATTATTATTATGAAAGCTTGACTTTAGCTTAGGCTTTTTCCCAACTAGCTCTTGCTTTTTTTTTTTTTTTTCAAGACAGGGTTTCTCTGTATTGTTTTGCAGGCTGGCCTCGAACTCACAGAGTTCTCTGTTTCCCGAGAGCTGGGATTAAAGGCGTGCGCCACCAACGCCCTCCCAACTAGCTCTTAAATGAACCTGTTTTTATTTCTCTGCATTCTGGCACGTGGCTTTTACCTTTTCTCAGTATGGCATTCCAACTTGCTCCTAGCCTGCCAGTGAAATCCCTGTACCTTGATTCCTTCTCTTCCTCTCTCCAGAAAGCCTGCCTATCCTCTCCTGCCTAGCTATTGGCTGTTTAGCTCTTATTAAACCAATTAGAAGGTGCCTCGGCAAAGACACATCTTCAAAGTGTACAAATACTCTGCAACGCTCACCATAATACAATATGGTTTAAAAATAGTTGCAGTAACCCACTTGAATTGTTTCAACAGTGAACCATCTGGTGCTACTACCCATTTTCTTCCCTGAGCAGGATTTCTGGGCAACCCAGGTTTGTAGTGCCAGTGGCTTTTTTCTCACTGTTACAGTCATACTGAGGTCTCTAGAACTAGGCTGTTAAAAAGATGAAGAATGTCTGGTGCCAAGCAGCCTGTTTGTTCCTATGTTGATAAAGAGTGCTCTTGTACTCATTCTTTAAGGAGAACAAACCTGGGGAGCGAGTCAAGGTTCATTTCATTAGAACCTAAAGAATTCAAGCCAACAGCCACAGAAAGAAAATTGAGTCAGTTGTAATCATTTTGTTGTTCTATAGAGTAGTTTTTGTCAACATGAAAATACCCTTTCTACTGTCTACTTATCCTGTAATACACTACAGATAGTTCTTACTGATAAATATATCATTGGAAGGTAAGAGATGTTTGTCAGCACAACTTGTCCACAAATTGTGCTTCATCTTTTTGTTGGTTGTGGCACTGTTAAGGCTTTAAAAACGTATTAGCAGTATTTTGATCTCATTAGAACTTATTAGAAGCGAGACTCTGAAATGAAATGTTTCCAGTATTGGGCTTCACATAGGCTGTCTCGTTTCTCTTTTCTTCTTTTATTTGTAGCCCAGGCTGGTCTTAGGAACCTCCTGAGTGCTAAGCTTACGGGTTGATGCTTCACTGACTCCTTTGCCTAAGTTATGACCATATCACCATGGTGCTAAATATACATCCTTCTCCTCTCAGGCTACCAACTGTTTTGATATATTGCTGCTCTGTGTTAGAAGCAAGTTTGGGGTCTTAGAGAAAGAAACTACCACTCCAAATGAAGTGTTTCTACCAGGCAAAACTTCACTCTTGATCAAGAGGGTACATTCCAAAAAGGAGAAGCCCTCAGAGACATGCACTTATTATTTTTTATTCTGATAAGGGAGGGAACTATATCTTTTCCCTATTGGCTGGGGTCTGACTCTGTGATCTTTTGAAATTAGCTTTTTTAAAAAGAGTTGTTGCCAAGGAAATGAAGGGAGAGGGGTCTGCCACTCTAATCCAAGTGCAGGGCCTTTGTGCATACAAAGGTTTTACTTTGGGGGCACATGGGGGGTTAGAACATCTGCATAAACGTCTTAAAAGTTCAAGGCCAGGGAGATAAAAATTATGAATTCCTTGTTATAAACAAGAGTTTTATAGTATTTGATAGAAAAGACTCATGTTTCTTATATCTATCTGTAAGCTAAATATGGTCACCTACTAATGTCTGTGGGTGTTTCTAAGTGTGCTGGTGAAGCTCTGCAGCCATTCTTAGGCATATTTGTCATTGTGGAAATTTGAGAAAATTTGTCAAGGTGAAGATGTGGGTCAAAGAGGAAACACTTTTTTTTCTCCTTAAACAAACACTTTTTTCCCCCTCTTAAAAACATCTTACCACATTGTCTCTGTGACTGTTACACATTTAGTGGTGTTTAAATAGCAGAGGACCTACATTCTTGGCTCACGCCTGATACCATCAACCTTTAAACTATTTTCTAATCTGGTGTGAGAGTAGAAATGTCCCTGGAGTCCTTAGCCAGAGGTCCCACAGCTACCCATCCCCAAAGGTCAGTGGAAGAGACAAAGAAATAGTAGGAAAGATGAGAGAGGAAAGCGGCAGGCCAGTGAGAGAAGTCTCTCTCCTGCCTTCTTGTGGGGCTTCCCTTCCTGCCGTGCTGAAGTACTGCAGCAACTCCTTAAGGAGCATTTCGTTCTAGAGGGGAATGTTTATGTATTTGCGCCTTGAAATTTGCATGCATACATGCATACCATGTATTTTGATCACAGTTACCTCCTACTTCTCCCCAACCACTCCACCTTATTCCTTCCAGATCCCCTTAACTCCCTCCCAACACTGCGTTCTTCTCCTCCCCCCACTACTGCCCTTCTCCCTTCCCTGTCATTTCCTCCTTCCCTTCCCCCTCCATCTCTGTCTTTCTGTCTCTCGCTCTCTCTCCTCCTGCTCCCCCCGCCCACCAAGCCCTATTTGTGCTGCTCACTATTCTTGGGTGTGGGCCCATTCACTGGAGCGTGGGTGACTACTAGGAGTCACACCCTTGAAGAAAACTGAATCTCCCTCTCCCCAGGAACCATCAACTATCAATAGCTTCTCAGCTAGGGGTGGAGGCTTGTTGAACCCCCTGTGTCCAAAGAGAGAGGAATTTTGAACATACTCTGAATAGATTTGGGGGGATTTTCTCATACATTCAAAACAGATTTCGAAATAGGTACCACTTAACAGAATAATTAGGCCTAATAACTGCCTATAACGAAATGGTTATTTTAGTGCCTGTCATCAGAAGGGGAAAGGCTTTTGTTGGACAGTGTCAGCAGAACCATCTACTTAGAATGATTACATAAAACATGTTTCAATAAAAACCATTGAAGGCTAAGTAATTGCTTTTACTTCTGTCAATTAATGTAAAAATAAAAATCTGCTAATGGAAAGAGCATTGCAGTTTTTAGCAGTAAATGTCATTTTTAAGTGAAAGGCAAAAATGTTGGTACATGTGGGTGGGAAAATTTGCTTATGTTAAAACAACTTAAAGCCAATTTGAACAGCAGACTTTAAGCAGGTGTGCAGAGCTAACATTTTGTACTTACAGTTTAAGGCATGATGTCAGATTTTTATTTGAGCAACCCTTCCTCTGCTCCTAAGTGACCAAAGTCTCTGTTTCTAGCTAACCTATCTAAACATGTTTACAGGAGGACTCCATAGAAAACACTGTAGTGGCTTGTTTCACTTGCGACAGGTCCTTACTGCATAAAGTTTCCTCCCATAATGCTTCAGTAGTGGATGCTTACCAGATGACCCTCATTTATAGTCACCACTGTGGGAAGCCTGTACTTATGCAATAGTGTACATGTTCATGACTTCTTTTCTTTTTTAGAGCACAAAGTAATCATTGTGGGGCTGGATAATGCAGGGAAGACCACCATTCTTTATCAGTTGTAAGTATTGGTACCTTTTTAATAGTTTTTGAAAAACTTTGATTTTATAAGTAATGAGATGCCATTCTTTCCAGTTTTAATAATACAATAGACTTAGACATGTAACTTTTTCTGTTTTGCTAAATAAAAAAAGTAAAATAAAATATCATAGGCTCACTAAAGCCTCCAAGTACTCGCCTTCTGACTTCCCAAGAAAATGATCTTTAATATTAAACTGAAATAAAGTACAGATCATCCTGGGGTGAGGTGATAAGATGACTCGAAGGAGCCCTGTGTAAATAGAGTGCTGTCTCTGGGAAGCTGCTCTCCCCTAAGAGCTTTGGGATTGTTTAACATAGCCAGACTTGTCTGAACTGATTGATGGTGGTCAGAATACTTTTAGTAGCTTTCAAAAGGGAAAGGCTTGAAATTCTCAGGAATACATTAAGACTCACCATCAGTAAATGTTAACACCTCATGAACCCACTGTCTGAGGATTCCCCTTTCTTTCAGTGCCAAAGATATGTTAAGCTGTGGAAATGGATTTACATGCCCAGAGCATTTTAATAATAGTCACACAATACTTGGCACTGTTATATGAATATCACCCCTCCCTTCTTCATCTTGCATTTAAAGCCCACTGGTTTTAGGGCTGGGTTATACCTCAGCAAAGCAATTCCTTACAAGACACTGGACTAAATTCCTAGCACTTCAAAAGAAGGTGGGGTGGGGGGCAGCATTGTTAGCTTGCCAGAGATGCTCACTTTCCCACTTCCTAACTAACACATTTGCCAGCAGACAGCTCCTTATATGTTATTGTTTCAGGGTTGGACTATTACTTTTTCTTTAGTAAATTTTCATTCATTGGCCAAAATGTATTTTAATGCCATTTAGCTTTTAATATGAAGCTCAAATATCTCTGACACTTCTCATCTTTGATAGCAGTCTTGTACATAGTGTCAAACACATAACCTGTGAAACTCAAGAGAAAATTGTGTCTTTTAAATACATGTTATCATGGAATGTTATCAGCAAATATATACACTTTGAAAGAAGTATTTAAGCAATCAGTAAGATAATACAAGTGATATGAGAATCAATATTCTAGATATAGTTCATTTTAAGTAAAATTTCTATTCGTGTGTGATCTTAAGACTATGGTTGATAAGCCTAAACTAGTTTTCATGGCTGAACTAACTCTCACCTTGCTTACATAGACATTAGGAAAATATTACTGAGCTACTGCTACTTTTGCAAGTATTGTCACAGTCATCCAGAAATTGCTCTTTCAGGATGGAACTTTGGATCTGATACAGTAACTGGTCATATTGGCATTTTGCCCACAGACATTCAAATCCACACCACTGTGTTCTCATCTGTGCGTGCCAGGCTCGCAGTTCCCTGATTAAAAAGCAGAAAACAGTCTTCAGGGGTTGCATGATGTTTACATTTTTATTTGTACAGGAAGTCTCCAAGCTTCTTCTTGTGTCAATGATTATTATGATTGGTATAAGTAGGAAAGGTTGACATCTTTTAAAAATGTAGAGAGAAAACGTGCTTGGGTTCTCAAGATTTACAAAAGAATTTTCAATGGTCTCTTTCAACAGCTTAATGAATGAAGTAGTTCATACTTCTCCAACCATAGGAAGCAATGTTGAAGAAATAGTTGTGAAGAACACTCATTTTCTTATGTGGGATATTGGTGGTCAAGAGTCTCTGCGGTCATCTTGGAACACCTATTATTCAAACACAGAGGTACGCTAACATTACCTTTGAATTTGAATTTTAAAAAAATTTTGTAAGGATCAGCATAGAAGATGGCTAGGTTGTAATGAAGCGTATTGGCAGTTGCCTTTAATAAGGAATTCAGATTTCATCATGGAAGAAACAGGCAGGTAGAAGAAGTACTAAGAGTTTGTTCTAGTCACCATGGTGTCTCACTGCTGAGACTTGTGCAGAGGGAAATTTAGGACTAAAATCCAAGAGGGTGCTTGTATTTTTTTTTCCCCCTATGAGGGGGCAGAATAGTCAATGAAAACATTGAAAAGTAAACCTATTTTACTAAAGTCAATAGATTATATGCATGCAAAATGTACCTGGCTGAAAGAACTTGCTGTGCAGCTCAGGCTGACCTGCTGCTGGCTTACACCCATCCTCTTGGTTCTCTGCCTTGTGAGGACTGGGATTATAGGTGTGCACCATCATGCCTGGCCCAGGTCCTTCTCAGCCAAGAGCTTACTCTGGCTGCCTCAGGCTGTCCTCACGGTGTCCTCTCAAGAACCCCATGGACTGGAGACATGTGGCACTGGCTAAATAATGGATCTTCTCACAATCTGAAAGCTTCCCACTTGATGAGGGCAGGGGTAAAATATTTGAATCATAATTTTTCAAATAACACCATTTTAGAGGTTTTTGTACTTTTCCCACTGGGCTAGGAAAAAAAAGCAAATAACATAGAATTTTTATTATATATTTATTGAGTATTTTGAAAACATGGGAAGAAATTGCTTGTGTTAAAAGTAAATAGAGGAGTTACTCAAGAGAAGCCACTCTGAATATATGAACTTCTGCAAACTTCCATTGCACAAAAGAATGTGTTCCCAGTGTTCTGTTGCTGACACGATTGTAGAAACAATCATGTAGGCCCATAGGGGAGTGACTAGGGACCATGGTGAGCATCATATGTAGAGATGAATGTGTTGGTTTCTGATGGGCCCTGAGGGGGCAGTGCACAGGAACATTGTGCGGAGAGCATGTCTGCAGAGCTTCACAGTGGAGCAGTTTCTGCACAGGGAGCCTTCCAGGTTATTGTTTTCTTTTTTATTATTACTTGTTAGTTCCATGTTAGCTTGGAGAATACATCTGTATTGTCTTCATTTGTACTTGTATGTCAGCCTAGAGGTGGATATTTTTGAAATGACCATAAAGTATTTTGTAGCTTTATCATTTTGAATAATGGAATACAGTTACACATGTAAACTTTCTTTGTAAGGAGGTACAGCTAAGCAATCATGTTTTCTAAAATGACATTACATAAAAATTGGAGCCGAAAGAGTATAATACAAAGAATTTTTTATGCACAAGTTGCCTTTTAAAATAAAATAAGGAAACACTTTGTGGGTCTGTATTTACTAATACAGTTTTCTGTGTGTGCTATTGCAATATAGTGCATGAGCCAGATTGGCATGTTGCCAGTATGCAACACTTGTAATGAATGGCACTGAGCTATCTTCTTCGTGGGGGTTGGGCAGGACAGAAGTGGTTGGTAAGCAAATATGGTTATAAGCCAGCTGAATACACATTTGTAAAGTAAAATACTACTGGGAGAATAACAGCATTTTAATATGCTCAGGTAACAGATACTTTTCCAAAGTTCACTGTCAAAGCTTATAGCTGACTCCAGATGTGAAGAAAAGCAGTTCTTATGTGCAAATAGGTTAAAGGTGATTCAAGCTGAACTGAGTACACTTCAGGCAGTTAGTTCAAAGTGGTAGCTGTTGAAATTGCTGACAATCTAGGGTTAGCCTGGGTCCAAACAAAGATATCTTATTACTGATGCAATTAGCACTACATGTTCTTTTTGTAAACCACTGCTACAAGTATATATGAGTTACCACAAACAATTGTATTGCAACACACCAGCATGGTCCGTTGCATTTGCAGACTTAGATTCCAGGAAAAGATTTTATGAGGTGATGTTTCACTCATTACTTGTTCACCTTTGTAGTCTTTCATTGAGAAAATTCTTTACTTTGAGATGGCCTCCCAAAGTGAATGTCTCCATTGTAATGTGAGGAGTTCCGGATGTTAATTCTTGATAACTTCCCAATATTCTGCCCTTTCTTTGCCATGCTCCCTTGTTTCTGTAGGCTGTTATCCTGTAAGTTGATTCCAGCCTGTCTATTGTAACTTGGTTTGTATGACTCTCCGATTTATAGGAGGAATGACACTATTTACCCCTGAGTTTTTAACCCTTTCTATTTGGTTTAGTAGTTCCTTTTCCCTATTTCTCCAGTTTTCCTTGCTTTTTCTACTATCACCTACATCTTAGCTTATTAACGTCAGTACATGTAACTTACACAGTTCAGCATACTTTCTTCTTGAACTTTTATTGCTGAAATTCCTTCTGCAAAAAATGTCTTACTCGTTATTTTTTAAAGCACTCTTTTTCTGCCAAATTAATTCTTCCTTTAATAGGCAAAAGACTTTATACAAACAGGAAATTGATTATTAATTGTCTAAAATTCAGTGGTTCTCAACCTTCCTAATTCTGTGGCCCTTTACTACAGTTCCTCATGTTATGGTATCCCCAACCAAATTATTTCATTGCTACTTCATAACTGCAATTTTGCTACTGTTATTAGTTGTAATGTAAATGTCTGATATGCAGGATATCTGTATGTGACCCCAGTGAAAGGGTCATTCTACCCCCATTGGTGTAAATGGATGGTGGAATGAAGACTTTGAAGTTTAATCAGAGAGAATTAAATTCCTGTTTTGCTGTAAATATTACTTTTTATTACCCACAATCGGGAACTTTAAAAGGCTAGATTGGTCTTGCTTTTTGATTGCTGAGGCTGCAAGCTGCTTTCTGTCTAGCACCTGACTTTCCTGCTTGCTGTGCTTCTGTGTTGAGCTTCCTCTGATGGACAGGCACTCATGCTCCATAGTAGAGACAATGCCCACCGAGAGCTAATGTCACTGCAGTGGTTTTGCGGAAAACTGAACATGCCACTAATTCTCTTATCTTAAAATTGCCTTCTAGTTCATCATTCTTGTTGTCGATAGCATTGACAGGGAACGGCTGGCTATTACAAAAGAAGAATTATACAGAATGTTGGCTCATGAGGTAAATTTTGAAAGCAAATGTTTAAAACATGATATAAGTTATCTGTGTACTAGTTTTGTTTTACACAAGGATTAATGTGAAACTATGTCGGTCATTTCATCATAAGCAAATATATTAAGCTGAGTCAAAAATCACATTATATTTTCAATCCTGTTATTTTGTTTGCTACAACTATTAAAAGCTGTTTTATTGTTTTCAGAATTAAAACTACTGATTCATTCCTTTTAAATTTTGATAAATTGAGATTAGGAGAAGGGAGCAACAAAATTTAAATATCTTTCAGCCAAGAGTTTATAATAACTTTAATGAACAATTTGAAGTAAAGTGATTTCTTTTTCAAGACAGGGTTTCACTGTGTAAACCGCTTTAGCTGTCCTAAAACTAGCTTTGTAAACCAGGCCGTCCTTGAACTCAGAGATCCGCCTGTCTTTGCCTGTCTACCTACCCCCTGAGTATTAGGATTAAAGACCATGCCACAACTTTTTTTTCTTTTATATTACATCTTGACTGCAATTTTCCCTCCCCCCACCCCAGTCTCTTTCCTCACCTCCCCTCTCCCCCAGACCTAACCCTGTCTCCCTTCAAAAAAGAGCAGGCTACAATAAAATCAGATATATACCATCACATCAAGGTTAGATAAGACAACCCAGTAGGAAGAAAAGGATCCCACAAGTAGACAAAAGAGTCAGAGACATCCCCGTTCCCACAGTTGGGAGTCCCACAAGAACACCAAGCTGCTCAGTACATAATGCAGAGGACCTTGGTCAATCCCTATAGACTCTCTGATCTCTGAACCCACATAAGTCCCAGTCAGTTGATTCTGAGCCCTTGTGCTCTCTTGCTGGTCCCCCCACTCCCTACAAATAGTCCTGTCTGCTTTCAGGACACCTACACTCCATCACCTGATTCTTCTCAACCTCCCTGTCTTCTGCCCTAAGATCTCTTCTTTATCATGGTCTCTTCTACTTTGATGACCACTACCCTCCTGTGTACACACACACACGCACACACACACACACACACACACACACACACACACACACACACACCAGCGACTTCCAGGACAGGCTCCAAAGCTACACAGAGAAACCCTGTCTTGAAACCCCCCCCAAAAAAACCAAGCAAACAAAAGGATTCTTGAGGTATATACCCAGTAATGGTATGACTGGACATATGTCATTTTATTTCTAACTTTATGTGGGAACTCCCTACTGTCCACCATAGTGGCTGCATTGGTACTCACCCCCACCAGCAGTATAAACATGAGATTTAGCTATGTTAATATGTGCATAGCTAAAAAATATGTACATAGCTGAAGTTCATTGCTTTCAGAAATGATAGTATACCATTGTATAAGTATGTCACAGTTGATCTATTTTGTCAGGTTATATAATGTTGTTTTGATTATAAACCAAACAAAAAAAGCAAAGCCACAGTGAACACTATTCAATGAGTTTGAGCTCTGTGAAAGCTAATTAGTTTACCTTGTTCTCATCTACATAGAGTATCACACATGTAGTATTAAATTAGTGTTTAATCTGACATTTATTTTCTTTTCAATATTGAAAATGATTACATTTTCTGACTTACACTTATACTTTATTAGGATGAATCATTAAAATTTGATTATTTTAAAATTAAATGTTAGTGTAAGATTTTTAAAAATGTGCTTTACTGTAATAAGCATGGTAGATTTTACACTTTCACTTCATACTTTAATTTGTTTTATGATAATTCACATATTGATTTGATTTGTGATTATTGTTCCCATGTTTGGTATTTCAATATTTTGTGTCGTTTGCAGGATTTAAGGAAAGCAGCAGTTCTCATCTTTGCAAATAAGCAGGATATGAAAGGGTGCATGACAGCAGCTGAAATCTCCAAATACCTCACCCTTAGTTCAATTAAGGACCACCCATGGCACATCCAGTCATGCTGTGCACTAACAGGCGAAGGGTAGGTGTGGTCGGGGCTGCTCACAAGGTCCTTTCACAGTTCTAGGACAACTTTACTTCCTGGTCTTCAGTCCTTTTAGTGTTTCTCTTAAAATTGGTTTTTATATTGTTTTTCAATCTTAGACATTGAAAATCGCCAGGCAGTGGTGACAAGTGCCTTTAATTCCAGCACCCAGCAGGCTGATCTCTCTGAGTTCAAGGCCAACCTGGTTTACAGATTGAGTTTCAGGATAGAGTTCAAGGCTACACAGAAAAACCCTGTCTTGAAAAACAAAGAAAACAAACAAAGTTGGAAATAAGTCTAGTGAACAATTTACCAACAAGTTCTTCATTTTTTTTTAACATAATGCAGTATTTTCAAAGGCATAAGCAGCTTTGAATTAAATGTATACAATTGAGTTTTTTTTGTTCATCTGTTGCTTTCATCATTTACTTGCTAAACAGAAACTGTAATGTCACCTGAATTAAAGAGAAAGCTGTAAAGAAATTACACATTTTCCGGAAGTACTTAACTGAGTCAGTCTTCTCCAAGAATGTATTCCTGTATTATTAAGAATCCTTTCAAGAGGCATACCTATAGACAAAAAATATTTGACAAATGCTATGATAGTGTATTCTTTTTTTTTTTTTTTTTTTTTTTTTGGTTTTTTCGAGACAGGGTTTCTCTGTGGCTTTGGAGGCTGTCTTGGAACTAGCTCTTGTAGACCAGGCTGGCCTCGAACTCACAGAGATCCGCCTGCCTCTGCCTCCCAAGTGCTGGGATTAAAGGCGTGCGCCACCAAAGCCCGGCTTATGATAGTGTATTCTATGATAGATATTATGCCAAGGAGAAGCCAGCATGTTATGTATTATTACCCACGTTATGCCTAGGATCCTCATATCAACCTGATTACTTAGTTTTTCTTATACTCAAAATCACTCCCAATGTAATAGCTAAGTATAGACTATAACATTTCATTCTTTAGAAATTGGGTGAGTAAGAAGTTTCCTCTCTTTTTTTTTTTTATAGTGGTTTCATCTCATTTTAAAGGGGTTGAGTGAGTATGGTATTTACAATCTTGATGTAAAAATTGGACAAACTTGAGATGAGAGCAGAGCAGTTTGTCATTTTTTTTTTTTTTAACGGTTAAGATCATTTTGTTTAAGTGACACTTCCATTACAGTTTCACTTAGGATTGCTGTCCTTGACAGAGGCTGGGGATCTGGCTCAGTTGGGAGACTGCTTGCCTAGCATGCACTAAATCCTGGGTTCCGTCTCCATTACTGCATATACTGTGTGTGGTGGCATGTGTCTGTAATCTCAGCACTTGGAGGTGGGGTTGAGGCAGCAGGATCAGAAGCTGAAGTTCATCCTTTCTGCTTAGAGAATTTGAGGCTATCCTAGGCTGCATGAGACCCTGCTTCTTGTGGGGGATTAAAAAAAGGTTGTCACCAAAGGTCCATAAATAGCACTTGACTATAACAAGAACCTTTAGGTAAGACAATAAATATGGCTTCACTCTTTCACCAGAAAGTTTCTGATTCCTAAAATACTTCTGTCTTTTGTTTAGGTTGTGCCAAGGTCTAGAGTGGATGACCTCCAGGATTGGTGTGAGATAATCTTTTGCTTGAAAAGACTTCTCTATTTATTCCGTGACATGAACATTTTTCCTAATACCTTTGGCTGCTGAGGCAGCAGCATGTTTAATTTATAACAACACAAACCTCTGAGCAACACTTGAATCAAGTGCCGCTGTACTGGAACATAAAGATGTTTTCTTACCTTTGTTTCAGATGCACTAATCTTCAGTCGGATGAGCATAATGTGTAACTATGTTTGCAGCAACAGAACTCTTCTGACTGCTTATTCTAATTATTCGGTGACTGCCTTGTAAAAACTGTTTGTCATATATTTCATGTTATCTGAAGTATTGTTATATCCTTTACAACCCGTTTCTTTCACTTCTTGGCCACCACTCTCTCCCTCCCAGGTCTTGGTGATTTGACAGAACAGTAGTAGGAATTGTCATCTACTACTTGTCCAGCACTAAACATTTTGTTCTGTTCTCTACAAACCCTTTTTATCGTTTGGCCAGAATTAATGACAATGATGAAAATCTACCTAGAAGCTGTGTGTGTGTGTGTGAGAGAGAGAGAGAGAAAACATCATGAATATTTGCCTTTAAATTTTCCTTCACCTCATTGCATATCATAGTTTAATTTTAAGTTGTTCTTTGCCTGGGGAATTAAGTAGTCCATTTCTTTATGTAAGGAATTAAGTTCACTTTTCTGTTAGCAGTGTTTGCTTAAAAAACACAAGGTAAAGCATAAATTTGAAAGTCAGCTTCAATGATAAATATTTTTGGTTCCATTTGATAGCTTAAGATTTTCACTGTATATATAACTGTCAGAATTTAGTAAAACACACCAACATGAAATTAATCTAGGACACTTGGAATATGTTTTTCTAGCAGTTTGCTGCCTGTTTTATTGTCAGCAAAAACTTCAGCTATTTTGTCAGCGATACTAAACCTGCTTTGGACAGAAGCGAAAATACAAACAATCCTTTTCATTTCTTAGGTGTGAAGGGGTATCTGTTAGAGCATCTTTATCACCAGCAGTATGTTCCTGAAAGGGAAAAGACCATTTTAAATCTGGCTGAGGCTGATGTGAAAGAGGCTTCAAACAGTTGATTCCCCACCCCCACTTTAGGTACACTTTGTGTCCTAAAATCCTATTGGGTACTGCTGGACCTAACCTTGGCTTTTGGAATATTCCTATAAGACTCAACACTTACATTATTTTTTTATTTGGATGAATTTTTGAGACAGGGTTTCTCTAAGTAGTCCTTGGCCTGGAACTCACTAGGTAGACCAGGCTACCATATTCTTACCAACATGAATGCTTTTATTGGTTACAAAAATGGAGGGAAAGGGCCTAATGCATCAGACTTACTGGGCAGTATTAACGGTTCCCAAGGCAGTTGTCTAAGATAAAAGTACGAGTGAACCCAAGTGTTGTCATTACCCCTGTTCATTTTATGTGTGTCTTTGGCTGTATGAAAGGGAAATAATGTGTACTTAGGGGTGGTTCCTCCTTTGCAGTATTTTTTATTTGGATCAAAATAAGCTTCAGTGTTCATAAATATCTGCTCAAAATTGTTATTTTAATTTCTGGTTTTTTGTATGTAAATTGCCTTAAATTTTGCTCTCTTTCAGGTGTACTCATTTGTTTTATTTAGTTAATTTAGTTGAACTTGATGTCTTGTATTTAGTGTTTCACCTTTGATATGAAAGTGGCCAGAGGAAAATTTTCTGGACTGTGGGAAATTGTTTAAACTTTGACTTTTTTCTTAGTGATTCTATGCCAAGTAGAGGATAAGTTTAATTTTCTTGTATGTTTTAAATATAACTGATAATCAAAGGCGAGCAAGAAAAGCAGATATAAATCAATGTGGATGGTGTTTGTTGGGTGGGGGTGGGAACTAAGAAAATACCAATTACCTAAAGCACACTTTGCCTGAACTTTACTTCATTTTATTGTTTACCATAAATCTAAAAAAATTCTCATAAGCCTGTCTGGAAGTAAAGCATATTTAATACCCCAGTATTTCTTCTTAAGAAATAATTATGCCTCCTTGTATCTAATAAGATTGGCTGGTTCAATTTTCTTCTATTAGATAATATGGTTATTTTTTATATTACCACATCAGCATTATATTGAAAGTGTTTTTAATAGTTGATTGTATTTTGCCAAACAGCTACTAGTATAGATACAGATTTGCTATTTAATTATTAAACATACAGTTTATTTTACTTCTAAATCCTTTTTTAAAAGCATATGATTAATTTGATTAGAAGCAATGTCTGTTAGCCATCTGAGTATGAAATCAGTATTCAAGTAGACATTGTGCCATTGAGGCTTTGGTCATTTTTCATTTCCAGCAGCAAGAAACTAGTTATCCTTTACTCCAAGAGAATGTTTGGACCCAAACAAGTATATGATGCTAAAGCATTTCACTTGAATGTTCACTGTAAATCAAATGGCTGTAAAATATTATTTGATGGAAAAATGCAAATTTGTGATGGTGCCTTTGTTATTTTGAGACAAGTTCTTGATTTTTTGCTCTGTTCTTTAGAGGTCACATTAACAGTGATGGCGGTGGAGGGAAGGGCTGTGTGTCTCACATTCTCCGTTGTCTCCACATGTTACTCCATAAAGTTTGTATTATGCAGACACCTCCCATACCTGCTTTATACCTTCAGAAAATTATCTTGTATTTTTAATTCAGAATGAAGAGATTAAGTTTATCTAAAATCTACTCAGTATGTTACAGCTAAAAATGAAAAAAAAAACTACCCTTGCAAATCAAGCATGCCATTGTCTTATCTGACTGTATTATCTTCACCTAGAAGCACATTTGAGAGTTACTGTAAAAGTAGTACTTGCTTTTGTAGGGGAATGCACAAAATATTTTTATTGTTAATGTGATTTAATTTCTTAAAACTGAAAAATATTAATATATATAAATAATCTATTGAAAACTGAGATTTGAATATGTAATGTTTGCTTTTAACTTCTTGTGTTAACATTCTTAAAGGAATAGTACTTTTATTCCTTATTCACTAGAGAAACAATATATACATTTCATTTTTTTAAAAAGCAGGTTTAAATTACTCCCATAGTAATAGTTCCTGCCTCTTGCATCCCCAGTGCCACGATTGCCATAGCTATTTTAATTAAATATAATTTACCTTTCATTGTAGTATAAAGAAAAACAGTTATTTTCCTGTGGGAACAATGAAGGGTACAGACAATGCTATAAACAATAGTCTTTGATGCCAAGTCTAACCATGAAGAAGTCTTTGAAGAAAATAGAACTTTTAAGTCTTTGATGTTATTTCTCAGAACAGATGATAAGCAGAATTATTTCCAAGAGCATTCATTTAATCCTTCACTGTGTAAAGCACACATTAGCAAACAGGGATTGAGCTGCTACATGATGAGATGCTACATTATTGGCTTTTGTCTCTAGAGACCTACTTTATGAGTTAACTTTTTTTTTTTGTTTTTGTTTTTGTTTTTCGAGACAGGGTTTCTCTGTGGCTTTGGAGGCTGTCCTGGAACTCCCTTAGTAGTCCAGGCTGGTCTCGAACTTACAGAGATCCGCCTGCCTCTGCCTCCCGAGTGCTGGGATTAAAGCCGTGCGCCACCAACGCCCGGCATGAGTTAACTTTTTATCTATGACTCTGGAACAAGATCCTCACACACCTAAACTTTAGTTTTAAAGGTCCCTTAATCTTCTGTCCGTGGGTCACTTCAAGATACAGCTTCTTGTCTGTATTTAGTCAAACATTGCACTAGCTGTCTGAAGATTCTGATCTTAATCTGCCCATTTATCATGTATCTAGTTGACCTAAGACACTATTGTTCGTGACTTTCTTTTTGTTCTTCCCAAACTGAGGAGCCTTTAAGTAAACGAAGTCTCAATTGAAGCCTTATGTACTATATACTGTTTTTTAAATCCAAAGTAATAGGAAATGCTTGTATTACCCACATTTAAGTTGTTTATTCGTTGTTTGATTTCCTCTCCTAGAATCACTTCCTCTAGTGTTTATGTACCATCAGGTCAGAACAAAGTATAAATTGATAACTCTCCTTCAGCTTAAACTGAATTTCTAGCTAATGACAATGTTCATCAGAAAATGGTATTGTGTGTTGAAAACCGTCTTCTAAAAAGCATACCTTATCTTCTGGCTTTGCTGACTCGATGGACATAGTTAGCTTGTTTTGTTTATTGCCTGAAGGCATCCCAAACGCTGCTGCTTTCCAGTACTGAAAGTAGCATGGAACAGGACATCAGTGTGTTACAGACTTAATGAAGTCCACCTAAGTGTGAAAATGGGGGGTATTTTCAATGTCATCTCATCTTCGTTTATCTAAGATTAATGTGAAGACTGAAACCCAAGAGCCAGGTTTTGAAAGAAGGATTATTTTAAGAATTCTAGGTGACCAAAGTTAAATAGAGGCCATAGAAAGGGGGAAGGGATTCTATTATTTCACTTTAATGCAAGAAACAAAGTGTTCAGCTGGACCTAAAATCAGCTTTAATTGTATATTTGGTGAAATGCTTAAATGTTTATTTGGAGGATTACAGGTATTCCCAGAAACAAACTCAAAATCAGACTAACTTGTAGTAAAATAATCTAAAATTAGGTAAGAAAATATGGATGCAAGAATAGGGATTTTTTTTTCTTCTCTTTGCATTTAATTCTGGCAGCATAGGAGAACTAGATACTCTACATTGCATTTAATATGGCTGGAAAATCTGAGAAGGGTTAGCATTTTGGGTTGGAATCTGGGACTTTAGTCTCTGAGGCATCTTTTTTTTTTTTTTAACTAATTTTCTGCATTTTCCCCTGCAATGGAGAAATAATAAAATGTGCTGTGTGTGTATAGACTGAATATAGAAAACAAAGCTTCTAAAAGAATGGAAATGTTTTCTTGTACAACTTAGCAAATTTTAATTTAAAATTACCTCTTTTTTTTTTTTTAGTCCAGAAGGTGGTTTAAGTGTCTGAGAAGTTGTGTGGTACAGTAAATCCCCCTCACTCAAATGTCTTTGAATATGCAGAATTCTCAGCTGAAGCAAGTGCTAGGTGGGGCTGTTGTTTTAGTCTTTGTTTCCCAACCCTAAGATGAACAGGTATCCTTCCATTCAATGCACTTGAGCAAACACTCAGTCAATATTTAATGAGTTAAAGAATGGAAAGTCCTGTAATTTGATCAGCAATGATAAACTATGACTATCAGTTTGCTAGGACAGCAAATGACCATTATTTGATCTCAGTAGTTTGTGATTTATTGGCATGTTTTAGCTATAGAAATGAAAAACTAGTCATTTTCACATAAATTTTCCCTCAAGAAATTCAGGGACTCTGAGGTCCCTGTTTATTCTCTTGGAGTAAACTTTCAGTTGTCAACATTTTCCATCTTGGTTTTGAAAAAGGGTTAGCTGCTGTTTCATTGAAATATGAAATAAGATGATGGCTATGGCCTTTCCAATTATGAGATAGTTTTCTATTTTCTCATTCTCAACTGTTTCACAAAATATAGTTTAGAATAAGGAAAGCAAATTCCTGGCAGTTATGTCCTTTCTGTCTCGTTTGTTCTAATGGGAGTGTGATGATTGTTATTATACATTGTCATCTTCACAAATAACTTGGTGCTTTATAACAGTACAGAGAAAGCAGACCTTGTACTCATTATACTTCTAGCACAGATTGTAAAACTCTTTAAATGTACATGTATGTTCATTTCATAAGTTTTAAGTATAAATTGTTCTCAGTTACAGCTCAGGCTCTGTGCAAGTGTTCTAACAATATCTTTGCCAAGCAGCTTGGTCCAATAGAAGATACTATTAATAAGGTCAAGGTCAGATCCCATCTCTTTGTGGACCCTCTGGTGTTTACACAGGAGGAAACAATAGCATTCATACCATATGCCACTCTGAACCCTCAACAAGCAACTGAAGTGTGTGTCATTGCTCTAATACTTAAGTGAAAACCAAGAAAATGTAAAAGCAAATGCCAAATGCATTTCACACCATTACTCCCCACAAGTGGTTCCAAGCTTGTTTGATTGTGAGGTTGTTGAAAAGACATGGTTTTGAATTTTAATACTTTTTACTATCATGAAATGCTTCTTTTATATGTTAGGTCATGCTCATGATTTTTTATTTCTGCAATTATGTTCTAATGAATTGTGTGCATGCCAACTTACTCAAGTAAAAAGATGCAGCTTGCTCTGGAATGTTAATCTTTTAGACAGGTTTTTGACTCATTTGCAATCATGGTGCCATATAGCATAACATCTATTTGTTTTCAGTCCACAGTTTTATTTTTGTCATAATAAATACTTTTCCAATATGAAGTGTAACTTGTGTTTTCTTTTGGAGATAGGGTGTAGTTTAACAACCTCTTTAGTTGTAAATGCTAGAAACCCAGGAATTTTATCATGATGGTGGTATGGTAAATGCTTATAGAACCCAAGCTAAGAAACAACTCAGTTCCACTGCTCTCAGACCAAAAACTGGAAGATTGTGAAGAAACAGAACATACCTTCCTTCTGCCCCTCTTTCTTAATCTTCCATTGAACTTGACTCTTGTTTTCTTGTCCACATGGCAGCTATGATACCCAAGTCTAATAGTTCTTGTATTTCTTTGTACAGGGCAAAAGTCAGATCGTTCTTGGATTCTTAGAAAAAAATTCCTTGTTCCCTAGAGCAGTTCGATAGCCTGAATGTAGCCAGTTGGCCTCTTTGGTCCAAACAGCTAACTAACCAGGGGAACCTGGGGAGTAGGAAAGCATGTAAAAGGATGCCTGTATGTTGTGCCTACATTTGTGGCTTAGTTAATAGACTGAGAAATACTATGTTCTTTATTTAGATCCCTTTAGTGGTTTTTAATGCTGCCCTTCTCCACATTCTTTGAGAATGTTAAGAAAGATCACTGAATACATAGGGAGGTAAGAACTTTAATGTCAACCATTACTGTATTAGTTGTTTTTGTGTAGCTGTGACCCAATACCTGAGAAACAACCAAAAGGAAGACTGAATTTCTTCTGCATAGTTTTAGGGTTCAACCTATCAAGGCAGACAGGGAGGGAAACAAAGCAGCCCAATTCTCATGGGGAGCCTATGAAGCAGAGAAATTGACCTCAGACTTGTGAGTTCCTCGACACAAAGTCTAATGTCCACGTTTTGTGGTCACTGCTGTAAACTTGTGAGGAGTTCCTATGCTTTGTAGGAAAGATCTGGGTTTTCTTCGGTTAGTTAACTGGTTGGTTTTGCTTTGTTTCCTCAACAAGAGACTCCTAATGTCATTTAATTTTAATAAGTTAAAAATGTAACACTCACTGGGCTTGGTAACATAAGCCTGTAATCCTATCATATGCATGGAGGGTGGGGGTAAGAGGACTAGGGCTTCAAGGTGAGTTCAGGCTACATGCGACAGACTGTCTCAAAAATAGCAACAATAGCCGGGCGGTGGTAGCTCAAGCCTTTAACCCCAGCACTCGGAGGCAGAGGCAGGTGGATCTCTGAATTCAAGACTAGCCTGATCTACAAGAGCTAGTTCCAGGACAGCCTCCAAAGCCACAGAGAAACCCTGTCTCGAAAGATAAATAAATAAATAAAATAACATTTTGTGTATGTATTGTGACTACTTGTCAAAGATTTATTTATCCAGTCATTGTCCCACGCTGTGTAATCCCAGTACTCAGGAGTTGGGCAGGAGAATTTTAATCTGGAGGACAGCCTGGGCTACATAGTAAGACTGACTAAATAAACCCAGTAATTAACCAACAGGTGATGAAACTGATGCAAAGTGCTCTCTCTCCCTCCCTCCCTCCCTCCCTCCCTCCCTCCCTCCCTCCCTCTCTCTCTCCCTCTCTCTCACCCTCACTTTTTTAATATAACAATGGAGAGTTTTTGTTGTTTGTTTTTGGTTTTTCGAGACAGGGTTTCTCTGTGGCTTTGGAGGCTGTCCTGGAACTCACTGTGTAGACCAGGCTGGCCTCGAACTCACAGAGATCCACCTGCCTCTGCCTCCCGAGAGCTGGGATTAAAGGCGTGCGCCACCAACGCCCGGCGGAGGGTTTTTTTTTGTAAACAGATTCTGTCTGTACCACTTAAATAATTTTAAGTTACATTCTTTTGCATACACAATTGCACAGACAATTTCTACAGTTTAAAAAGTCAACAAAACAAATGTGGCCTTTTCCCCCCCAAAATGGGAGATTTTCAGTAAAGTAGAATTTTATTATTTCATATCAGTTAGTTGTGGCTTATAGTTTTTTAAATTACAACACTGACAAAAATAATTAACAACTGATAAGTACTTAAAAGAAAACAAATTGCTAATATGGTGGAAGGAAAGGACAAACTCTTCAGAAAACACCATCTTCAAATAATCTTCAAGTGGAAAATTCAGTACAGTACAGTCTGTCCCTAACAGAATGAAGCACAATACAGAGCCATTCCAAATATACAAAGATATAACAAAATAATACAATATTTATTGCATCAAGAACAAGTTAAAGGCTGTCTTAATGTATGTATTTCCGTCATCAGGGCATACAACGCAGTTGCTGAGATAAATATAAATGTAAGACAGTTACCAGTGCCTAATAACTTGTACTGTAATAAATGCAGGTTGAAGTGACAGGCTAAGGACTTCCTGATTTTCAAAGAATGCCCAGTAATCTGTAGCACCTGTGAGTTTTGACACCTGAAGTGTCTTAAATTACAAGACTTGGGCGGGGGAGGTGTCAAGACAGGGTTTCTCTGTAGCTGTGGAGCCTGTCCTAGAACTTGCTCTGTAGACCAGCTTGATCTTGAACTCATAGAGTCTCCTTGCCTCTGCCTCCTGAATGCTGAGATCACAGGCATACCACCTCCTGGCAAGTTAAATAGACTTAAGAAGGAGCAGCAGAGGAGTAAGCAACTATTTGATGAAGTTGAACTGATTTTTAAATACACTTTGATCATATCCTGCAAGTTATACTCTTATATCACTCCTCGCATCAAAATCCATCCTTCCCAACAAGTACCCCTGCTTCCCTGACTTTCTGCTTGTACTGCTGTATTTAGTTATTGTTTCTTACTTAGTTATGAGCATGGCTGGGGGATATTTACTAGCAAATAAACATCCTACCAGTGGCTACACCCCTGAGGAATGTAACTCCTCCTGCAGCAATGAAATGCCTTTGGCTCCTCAAGGAAGGGTGGTGTCTTAGGAATCCCTTCCCTATTCCTGATGGAATGTTGATGGGCCCAGTTTTGTTGCAGATAGCCACTGCTACTGCTGCTGTGAATTAATGGGTGTGGCAACCATGTCAAGTCCAGTAGACAGCATTTCAAAACTCCCTATGTGGTCAAGTTCTTGCTGTCCCTTCTTTATTGATGTGCCCTCAGCCTTAGGGGAAGGAAAGGGTGATAGTGATGTAGATGTGCCATTTACAGCTGAACACTACTTGACTAATTTTACTAGGCAAGTCTATCTGTGTGTAAAATGAAAACAAAACCCATCAAGGAGCATCCAGTGGAGCCGCATAATGATGTTCTGTGAGAAGATTGCTGGGGATGGGTTTATAGCTATGGCTACAGGATGTGTCTTCAGTTTTCAGTATGACCTTATTTCAAGGTAGGTTCTTTATGAGTGTGATTAAATTAAAATGTAGTCATTGAACCTGAGACTAGATAAGCCGTGGACCTAAGGGAAAACCAAATAATATTGTTCTTCAAAAGGAACATAGCAAAATAATGACTCCTTATGACATTCTGCTATGCCCACAGATTATTGTCTCCCTCAGCTCAGCCATCATCCGAGAAGCTTCCTCCTGCAGTAGATGGGAACTAGTAAAGAGACCCACAACTGGACAATGTGCAGAGAGTTGAGAGACCTTGGATCACTCAGTCCTAAATGGAATGAATTATTCAAATCTTCCCCCTAAGGTTCAAGGAGCTATGCAGAAGAGAGACACATTGTGAGAGCCAGAGGGGTTGGAAGGCACAAGGAAACAATGCTAACAGACATAGCAGGACTGATACACGTATGAGGTCGGAGAAATTGGCAGCATGCGAAGGACCCACACAGGCCCAAGCCAGATAGGGTCCCGTACTGAGAGAGTAACTGGACAGGAGTCCCCATCCCTAACCCGGAAGCTATCACTAATTGACACGCTTTCAAAAGGGAAAAATCAGTGTTCTCCAATGGTGTCCACTAGGTACACAAACCACACTGAAGGGCAGGCTCCAAGCCCAACTAACACAAAACAAACTCAACTGTATTTTTGGAGATGTTTTGTCTCATAATTCTTCATTTGGCATTTTCTACCTTATGGGTCTTTTGCTTAAATATTATGTTTCCCAATTACATGTTTATGATCTTAGGCTTTTGATTTCTAATTCTCTCCATCTCTGTGTTTCTCATGCTTTTTCTTTTTTCTGATTTTTTGTTTTATTTTTTGATTGGTCTTTTTGTTTTCTAAAGAGATAGAGAAAGAAGGCATGGAGTTGGATGGGTATAAAGGATCTGGGAGGAGTTGAGGGAGGAGAAAACATGATCATAATGTATTGCATGAGAAAACACCAATTTCAACTTTAAAAACTCAAGCTATTGAGGTAGGTTGAAATCTAATATGACTGGTGTCCTGGAAGAGGAAATTTGGACATGGAAATATGCATGGAAGAAAGCTAATTGAAGAAATGGCGATGTACCAGTATCAGACAGGCCATGGAAGGAAGCTGTGACAAGCAGCAGAAGGAAATCAGCTCTCCTGGAGACCCTGGACTCACAGCCCCCAGTACTGTGAGGCCAAAAAATTTCCGTTGCATAGTACTGTAGCTCTCATTATTTTCCACTTCTTTTTCTTGGACTTCAAGTCTCATTTCCTCCATTAACTTTTGAGAGTAAATCTCTGATCAAAACAGTCCACTTCACTTTCCTCCAAATGCTATGGGATAGTATGTAATGACTTTTCCTTGTCATTCTAGAGAACTGTTTCTATGCAAGTGTTCATATTGTTCATTGCAAATGACAGCAATTCAAACATAATCAATAGCTGGCATTTCCGCTTCCTGCAGCAGACATCCCATTGCCAGCAGCTCTAGGTTCACAGTATGAAGCTTTCTGGCCACAGAACAGAGTTGTTTTCCTGCTAGCCTGCTGGAGAAGCACCAGGACTGGCTCAGAGTGAATTAGGGGGCCACCTTATAGCTGGGTATCAGAAGTCAGTAGTGAACATGAACACAGGTACATTATTTGGGAGTTGGGTTGGGTTGGGTTAGTAGAAGCTGGAAACAAATAGAAAAAGAAGCTGCCTTAGGGTTTCTGTTGTTGAGATGAAACACCATGACTAAAAAGCA